TGCTGTGAGCTGTGATGCCATAGCACTCTACCCAGGGGGAAAGCTTGAGGCTCTGTCTCAAAAAAAAAAAAGAAAACAAAAGAATCATTCAGAAAATTAATGAAACAAGGAGTTGGTTTTTGAAAAAATAAATAAAATAGATAAACCTTTGGCGGGACTAACTAGAAATAGAAAAGTAAAATCTCTAGTAACCTCAATCAGAAATGATAAAGGGGAAATAACAACTGATGCCACAGAGATACAAGAGATCATCTCTGAATACTACCAGAAACTCTATGCCCAGTAATTCGACAATGTGAAGGAAATGGATCAATATTTGGAATCACACTCTCTCCCTAGACATAGCCAGGAAGAAATAGAGCTCCTGAACAGGCCAATTTCAAGGACTAAGATCAAAGAAACAATAAAAAATCTTCCAAAAAAAAAAATTGCCCTGATCCAGACGGCTTCACACCAGAATTCTATCAAACCTTCGAGGTAGAGTTTATTCTCATACTGCAGAAATTATTCCAAAAAATTGAGGAGGAAGGAATCTTCCTCAACACATTCTATGAAGCAAACATCACCCTAATACCAAAACCAGGAAAAGACCCAACTAAAAAGGAGAATTTCAGACCAATTTCACTAATGAACATATATGCAAAAATTCTCAACAAAATCCTAGCCAACAGATTACAGCTTATCATTAAAAAAGTCATACATCATGATCAAGTAGGCTTCATCGCAGGGATGCAAGGCTGGTTTAACATGCGCAAGTCCATAAACGTTATCTACCATATTAACAGAAGCAAAAACAAAGACCATATGATCCTCTCAATAGATCCAGAAAAAGCATTCGATAAAATCCAGCATCCTTTTCTAATTAGAATACTGTAGAGTATAGGCATACGTGGCACATTTCTTAAATTGAAGCCATCTATGACAAACCCACAGCTAATATTTTAGTGAATGGGGTAAAACTGAAAGCTTTTCCTCTTAGAACTGGAACCAGACAAGGTTGTCCTCTGTCACCATTACTATTCAACATAGTGCCGGAAGTTCTAGCCAATATGATTAGGCAAGAGAAGGAAATAAAGTACATCCAAATGGGAGCAGAGGAGGTCAAACTCTTGCTTTTTGCTGACAATAGGATCTTATACTTAGAGAACCCCAAAGACTCAACTACAAGACTCCTGGAAATCATCAAAAAATACAGTAATGTCTCAGGATATAAAATCAATGTCTAGGGGTGGCGCCTGTGGCTCAAAAGGGTAGGGCACTGGCCCTATATGCCAGAGGTGGTAGGTTCAAACCCAGCCCCGGCCAAATAAATAAATAAATAAAATAAAATAAAATCAATGTCCACAAGTCAGTAGCCTTTGTATACGCCAATAACAGTCAAGATGAGAGGCTAATTAAGGACACAACTCCCTTCACCATAGCTTCAAAGAAAATGAAATACCTAGGAATATACCTAACAAAGGAGGTGAAGGACCTCTATAAAGAAAATTATGAAATCCTAAGAAAGGAAATAGCAGAGGATAACAAATGGAAGAACATACCATGCTCAAGGCTAGGAAGAATCAACATTGTTAAAATGTCTATACATCCCAAAGCAATCTACCTATTCAATGCCATCCCTATTAAAATACCAACATCATACTTTCAAGATTTGGAAAAAATGATTCTGCTTTTTGTATGGAACCAGAAAAAAATCCATATAGCTAAAGCAGTTCTTAGTAATAAAAACAAAGCCAGAGGCATCAGCATACCAGATTTTAGGCTGTACTACAAAGCCATAGTGGTTAAGACAGCATGGTACTAGCACAAAAACAGAGACATAGACATTTGGAATCAAACTGAAAACCAGGAAATGAAATTAACATCTTACAACCACCTATCTTCGATAAACCAAACAAGAACATACCTTGGGGGAAAGACTCCCAATTCAATGAATGGTGCTGGGAGAACTGGATATCCACATGTAAAAGACTGAAACTGGACCCACACCTTTTTCCACTTACAGCAATTGATTCAAGATGGATAATGGACTTAAATTTAAGGCATGAAACAATAAAAATCCTCAAAGAAAGCATAGGAAAAACACTGGAAGATATCGGCCTGGGGAAAGACTTCATGAAGACTGCTGTGGCAATTGCAACAACAAGAAAAATAAACAAATAGGACTTAATTAAACTGAAAAGCTTCTGTACAGCTAAGGAGACAATAACTAAAGCAAATAGACAACTTACACAATGGGAAAGGCTATTTGCATATTTTGAATCAGACAAAAGTTCTGATTAATTTTAGTTCTCTATAGGATCTCTATAGGATCTATAGAGAACTCAATGAAAAAAGCCAACAATCCCATATATCAATGGGCAAGAGACATGAATAAAACCTTCTCTAAAGAAGCAGACAAATGGCTAACAAACACATGAAAAAATGCTCATCATCCCTGATTATTAGAGAAATGCAAGTCAAAACCACCCTGAGATACCATCTAACCTCAGCAAGAATGGCCCACATCACAAAATCTCAAAACTGCAGATGCTGGCATGGATGTGGAGAGAAAGAAACACTTTTACACTGTTGGTGGGACTGCAAACTAATACAACCTTTTTGGAAGGAAGTATGAAGAACACTCAAAAAACTCAAGCTAGACCTCCCATTTGATCCTACAATCCCATTACTGGGCATCTACCCAAAAGGAAAAAAATGCTTTTATCATAAGGACACTTGCACTAGACTGTTTATCGCAGCTCAATTTACAATCACCAAAATGTGGAAACAGCCTAAATGCCCACCAACCCAGGAATGGATTAACAAGCTATGGTATATGTACACCATGAAATACTATTCAGCCATTAAAAAAAAATGGAGACTTTACAGCCTTTGTATTAACCTGGATGGAAGCAGAACACATTTTTCTTAGTAAAGCATCACAAGAATGGAGAAGCATGAATCCTATGTACTCAATTTTTTGATATGAGGACAATTAACAACATGGTGGGGGTGAGGGAGAGAGCAGAGAGAGGGAAGGAGGGAGGGGGGTGGGGTCTTGGTGTGTGCCACACCTTTTGGGGGCAAGACATGATTGTAAGAGGGACTTTACCTAAGCAATGCAATCAGTGTAACCTGGTTTCTTATACCCTCAATGAATCCCCAACAATAAAAAATAATAAATAATAATAAAATAATTTTTTAAAAATCTCAGAGGTCCCGCCCTCTGAGTTGCTCCAGAGGCTCTGAGGCTGTGCCTTCTCACCCGGAAAGTGATAAGCTCAGCGTTCTCCTGTCCACAGGCTATCTGAGGGTATTTGGGGGAGCCAGCCCTCCACACGACCCACACATCCCAGCTCACTCTTGGCCAGCAGCCTCTAGGTGCTGAAGATACAAACAAGAATTCTGCAAGAAAGACTGCTATTTACGGAGGGTCAAGCACAGCTGCAGTACAGCTCTCTGGCTGAGAAGTGATTTCTTTGTCTTTAGTTTTTGGGGGGTTTTTTTAGCCGGGGCTGGGTTTGAACCCGCCAATTCTGGCATATGGGACTTGCGCCTTACTCCTTTGAGCCACAGGCACCACTTGAGAAGTGATTTCTAACTCCTATTTCTCATGTACCACGGCAGAGGCCCGCAGGTTTCAAAGACTGCGGGTTTCCAAATGCAGGCAAGGGCTCCATCTGGCGGCCATCTGTGGAGTAGCGGCAAACCTTGGCCTCAGGAGACATAGCCTCCAAATCTGCCCACATTGCCCCAGTCCACTCCATGCCCAGCCTACCACTGCTCACCTCTTCTCTGAAGGGCAGGGGGGGCACGGTGGGGTCCAAGCGGAACATGTCCTCACACAACAGGGCTCGCAGGCACAGTGCCAGACTCTCCACATCTCGAGCCATGGGACCAACGGAGAGCTGCACTGTGGGGCAGCAGGAGAAGGATATGAGTAAGACAAGGTGGTGGGAACTCGGGCCCTGGATGGTCCAGAGCCAGACACTGCCCACAAGAGAAACAGGCAGAGATGGATCAGAGCCCCCCCCATGCCCCCAGGGCACTGAGGGGACCACAGTCCTCACCTGCCACCTGTCCATAGACACAGCCCTTCAGGCCACTCTTGCTAGATAAGAGACACAAGACGTTGGAAAAAGGAAATGGTCACCCTCTGCCTAACCCCATGCCCACACAACAGCTCCAAACTCTCACTACCAAAGAGAAAAAAAATAAAACAAAAACAATAAAGCAACAACAAACTCTCACCACCTTGGAAACAAGGAACCACACACAGCCAGTGGTGCTGTAACACTCCCTCCCAGCAAAAACCTGGTGAATGAATCCCTGCCTAAATCCCAGAGAGGTTGGAAGCTAGGCCAAGATCACACAGCAAGAGGCCCAGAACTCCTTCCACTCATCATACCTGAGACGGTTCCCTGTGGGCTTGAGACCACAGATGCCACAGAAGGCAGAGGGGAATCGGATGCTGCCTCCAATGTCAGTGCCTAAGCCCAGGAGGGAGCCTCCAGACCCAATCAGGGCCCCCTCACCCCCTGAGGAGCCACCTGGGCTCTTGGAGGACTTCCAGGGGTTTACAGTCTGGCCGAAGAGGGGGTTACTACAGTCATAGCTAGAGAAAGCAAAAATAGGTCAGCCACGTCATGCTAGCATCTGTGCCCCCACCATGCCCTACCCCCTGAGCCCCAACCTGAACATGGACTGGGGGACATTGGTGTGCACAAAGGGTATGGCGCCTTGCAGCTTCAGCACACGCACCACCACACTATCACACTCTGCGGGCATCCCCTCGTTCAGGCTTAAGCCCAGCGTCGAGTCCTGGCCCTGGGAGGAGAGATGGGCACCAAGAGGGACATAGCTGATAAGTCAAGTTAGGCAAGGTCCACTCCCACCACTGTCACACAGGCCAAGGAAAGACACACACAGCATCCTTCTTAAGGCCTGTGGACCTGATACCTCCCCTCTGGTAGCCCAAGTGACCCAGGACACAGAGCTGGCTTGGAACTGAAGCAAGGTGTACCTTGTAGGTGAAGCACTCTTTGAGGCTCACAGGGACCCCATAGAGCAGGCCCTGTCTGGGGGCCTGGGACAGCTCAGTCTCACAGTCAGCCAGATAGGAAGTCACACAGTTGGTTCCTTTGTTCACTTCCCAGGCCTGGGAGAAGGGAAAATAAATACACAGTAGAATTAAAATGGCCTTTAAAAAAAATTACGGTAAAATACATATCACACACAATTGTGCCTTTAAAAATATACCCAGGGAAAGGGTAACCAGCAATGTTCAGAGCCCAGAGCACCTAGGGCCCAGTACTCGCTTTACTAGGGACATCTGGCCCCAGCCTCACCCCTCAACCCCATGACTGAGAGAGAGGAAACTTCCGGGATCAGGGAAAATCAGGGCACTCAAGGAAGCAAGACGCTGGCTTCAGATATACCTCAGCAGGAGATGAGCTGGGAGGAAGATGACCACTGACCACTCCCCTACCTCCTCCAAGTCACATCAGTGCCCAGTGAGGCAGACAGGAAGTAGATAGGGACAAACCCCCTCTCAGGTCCAGGAGAGCTGTCCCTCCTAGCCTAGTATGTCCTCCTCTGCCACATTCCTAGCCCAGGAACCCTGAAATCTGATCATCAAGTCACAAGGAGTAATGGACTGACTGTGGCAAAGGGGGTAGAAGCTTGACTAAAAGGAGTGTCACCTTAACAGAGGACATCTGCCCAGTACACACAGACCACACCCCACAGGCTGCTTCGAAGGGAAAAGCCAGGGTAGAATGAGGTGCAGCTTCTAGTAAATATTCCTGCTCCTGTGAGAACTTAAGGAAACCAGGCAGGTTGTGTTGCCATACTCAGGATTGTGCAAAAATCTGTCCCCAGGCTATCCAGGTAGGAAGGGAGGAGGCCAATCTGCAAACAGAATATTCTCTTACCAGTGACTAAGAAAGCAGAGACCTCTTCAGGGATTTGATGGGAAAGAAGCAATACCAGCTCACCCGCCCAGGGGCCATCCCTCACACATTGTCACACACACCTCACCGGGGTTGCTCACCTGCCTAGAGATCATACTCACTATCAAATGTTCTTTTAAGAAATCATACAAACACACTCAATAAAGCACAATTCGTCCACCTTTCCTTTCTTTTCAGACATGTTTCTAGAGCACTTACAGTATTAAAGACACATGTTCGGTGCTAGGGTTCAAGGATTAATAAGATAAGCTCTGTCCACAAAGTACCCACAGTGCACATGGGAAACAGAAAGAGAAGATAACCAGGAAACACGCTGTTAGAGAGTAACAGGGCACAAAAAGGCGACACTGACTCGAGCTGAGAGGAGAAGAGGGACAGCGGTGCTTCCCAGGCAGGGATGTCTCCTGCTATGGGCCCTGAAGGTACAGCCAGGGAGACCTGTGGTACCAAGAGTGGCAGAGAAGAGGAAAGGAGACGTCCAGGCAAAGGGGCTTCATCGCTCAAGCCAGTGCAGAGCAAGGTGGAGCTGATAGTGCCTCCAGCTCCAGGAGGCCTGGGCTAGGAGGCTGGTGCTCAGGCATGGAGGGAGATGGTGGTGGAGGGCCATGGTGGCTGAAGGGAGATGATAGAAGGGGAGGGACAGGAGAGAGGTACCAGAAGGGAATAGATCAAACAGTGCCCAGTGGGTAGAAGCAAGAGGGAGAGTGAAGTCTGGGCTGAATTCCAGGTTTAACAACATGCTCGGTCAGACACACACACACACACACACACACACACACACACACACTGTGTTCTGGCTCCTTTCCTGCCTGGAAGCCCCTAGGACTGTGGTCCTCTAAATGGGACAAAGTCCAGGCCAGGTTTTGCCCCCAGCCTGTGAGTGCAGTAGCCGCAGGGAAGATCTCTGGCTGTCCTTCTGCCCTTACCTTTCCCACGTAGGTGAAGAGGGCAGCCTCTGGGGACAGCTCCCCACTGCGTAACTTCTGCACCAGTTGAGGCAGGGACAGGGCCAGCAGTGCCTCTGAGTCCACGTCTGGGTTCTGTGGGAGATACATTCTGATCAGTCCTGTCCAAAGTCCTCAAGTGCCTGGAGCAGTGTATAGACTCAATCAGATGCTGTCACGTGCTGATCCATGCAGACATGCCCACACACAGCTCTGATACTGGACACAGCCCAACCTGGACAGGCCCTTGCCATCCCCACAGAGTGTAGATGAATCGCCTCTAGAAGGCTGCTGGAAGGGTGCCAGGGAGAGGCCATACCCAGGTTGATTATTAAAACATCACAAATAGCCACCTGCAATGGCTGTCCTCTGTTTGCCAGGCACCTGCTGAGGCACTCCGTGTTTTGATTAAATCGTACTACCATTCTCATTGTACCGATAAAGAAACTGAGGCTCAGGGAGAGGAAGCATCTTGCCCAGCACCATAAAGGCAAATTGTACTGCTCTGCCCACCAGCACAGTCTGCCCACTGGCTGTGGGCACCTAACCCCTCAACCTCCTGGCAAAGGAGGGCAAAAACAAGAAGATCCATCCTGGGTGGTTAGGTCTGGGGCTGGAAGCCACACCTGAAAGGGAGGCTCTATACTCTGAGGCACTGGGGTGCCTGCTCTATGCCAAGCACCACACATGGGATTTACACATGAACAAGAAGCCTTGCCCACATGAGCTTACACAGGGCAGGATGCAGTGAGCAGATAATTAACAGGTAAATAAGATTTTTTTGTTTGTTTCAGACAGAGTCTCACTTTATCACCCTTGGCAGAGTGCTGTGACGTCATAGCTCACAGCAACCTCTTGGTCTCAAGAGACCCTCTTTTTTTTTTTTTTTTTTTTGAGACAGAGCCTCAAGCTGTCCCCCTGGATAGAGTGCTGTGACCCTCTTGCCTCAGCCTCCTGAGTAGCTGGGACTGCAAGTACCCACCACAACACCTGCCTCTTTTGTAGAGACAGGGTTTCTGGCTCGGTGCCTGTGGCTCAAGTGGCTAAGGCGCCAGCCACGTACACCCAAGGTGGCAGTTTGAATCCAGCCCGGGCCCACCAAACAACAATGATGGCTGCAACCAAAAAATAGCCGGGCGTTGTGGTGGGCGCCTGTGGTCCCAGCTACTCAGGAGGCTAAGGCAGGAGACTCGCTTGAGCCCAGAAGTTGGAGGTTGCTGTGAGCTGTGATGCTACAGCACTCTACCCAGCTTGAGGCTCCTGTCTCAAAAAAAAGAGATGGGGTCTTACTCGTGCTCTGGCTGATCTCAAACTCGAACTCGTGAGCTAAAGTAATCCACCCACCTCAGCCTTCCAGAGTGCTAGAATTACAGGCGTGAGCCACCTGCACTGGCCTGGTAAATAAGATTCTAGATAATGAGAAATACCTTAAAGAAAATTTATAAAGGTGTGATGAGGTGTGTACTTCCATATGGGTAGGGAAGAGCTGTGGCAGATGAGGGGGTATTTGAGCAGCCACCTGACTGTCACCCCTTAAGGGCTCCAGAGTCTCTGGTTTAGCCCCTGCCTGCAAATGCCTGCCTGCTTCCATCTCAAAGGTATTGGGATCAATTAGCAAGCATTGAGTCACAGCCACCACTCTTCACCTCACCCTCCCTTGCTCTTGCCAGGGTCACCAGAGACCTCTTAGTTATCAAGCCAAACAACTACCTGACTCTTTCTACCCTCCTCCATGTCTCACTGGGGCACTCAAAGGTATTGAGGCCATACACTGCCTGGCTCTGTTCAATTCCTCCTAGACATGGAGACATTACACTCTCCTGGCTTCCCTCTTGCCTCCTGGATGCTACTTATGTCATCCATTTACTTAGTTATTCAACAACATTCAACATTCAACATGTTCCAAGGACTATGTTAGGGGCTATGAATTTAGAGGTGACCAAGATAGACAAAGTCCCTACTCTCAGAGAGCCTCCATTCAAGAAAACAAACAAGTTCAAAAAGAGGTTATGATAAGTGTAAGCAGAGAAACAGAGCACCATGATAGAGATCACAAACCACCGGGTGACAGAATGGGCAGGCCTGTCTGAAAAGCTCATATTTTGGCTATGATCTGAAGGATGACGAGAGCCAGATGTGGCAAGAGAGACAGGCTCTTAGAGGTTTGTCTGGGCATCTTTTCTCCCCTCTCTGAGGCAGGAAGAAGTCCTCTCCCACCCACACCCACACCCATTACTGGCTTCCACCGCCCCCCTCCATACTCCATATGCCCTAACTCTCTTACCTCCTCCCCTAAGCCCTACCCAACAGAGTTCAAAGCAGCCCACTGGGCTATTCCTCTTGTTCTTCTAAGCTCATTGTCTTCCCAACTTTTTTCTTTTTTAGAGACAAGGTCTTACTCTGTCACTCAAGCTGGAGTGCAGTGGCACAATCATAGCTGCATCCTGGAACTCCTGGGCTCAAGCTGTTCTCCTGCTTCAGCTTCCCAAATCGTTAGGACTATAGGTACATGCCACCGTGCCTAGCTAACTTTTTTAATTTCTGTAAAGAGAGGGTCACACAATGTTGCACAGGCTGGTCTTAAACTCCTGGGCTCAAATGATCCTACTGCGTCAGCCTCCCAAAGTGGGACACCACACTCAGCTATCTCCTACTTTGAACTAACACCTCTTCTTCCTTCCTGAACCGCACTCAGGGGAGGGCTCTGCCTCTAGGTATTAAAGAAAAAAAAAACAAGTGTCTCTGGCTCCTGCTTTTCTCTCTCACCTGCATTCAATTAGTCCCCAAGCCCTCTAAATAGCTCTGGAAAATAAACAATCACCTCTCCAGCTGCCCCTCTACCAAGACCCTCATTAGGGCTCATCCTTTTCTCCTGGGTCACACAGGGCCCACCTAACTGCTGCTTTGCTCAAGCCTGCACCTCCAACTCACCCTTCCCAATAGGCAGACAGTCCAACCTGGCTTTGCCTTTTTCCCCTTGAAAACTCCATCACATCACACCATACTACAAGCATCAGGAGGTGCTGCCAGGCCATGGTCTGATCAGACTACTCTGCACCCCTCTCCCAAGGCACCACTACCTCCTTTCACTCACTACAACCTCAGAGCAGAGCACCCTCTTCACATACTCCATAGCCTCTGATACCCTCAATATCAGGAGCACTTCTCTGAATTTGCTAAACTGATACAACACTTGGGATTTCTTTTTCTAATACAGGGAGCTACAAAGAAGATAAAAATGGGTCCATGGGCTTGGTGCCTGTGGCTCAAGTGGCTAAGGCGCCAGCCACATACACCTAAGGTGGAGGGTTCGAATCCAGCCCGGGCCCACCAAACAACAATGATGGCTGCAACCAAAAAATAGCCAG